TAATGCAACAAATGCTATGTACTTCTGTAGTGGGATACAGAACAAGAATGAAGGCTGCTTTTTTGTTTCACTTACCTGATGCATGATCACAATGAAGCCAACCTTTCTGGGGAAAAAGGAGGTTATGCCTCCCTTCAGAGCTAGGGCATCTGTGCCCTAGGGAGTCTCTTGTGGCTCATGGGTCAAAGTAAAGGGGTATGATAAACAAGGAGAGCAACTGCAGCAATAGGTGACAGATGGGATCATATGGAATTTATTTCTAAACAAAAAGTCAATTAATTGCTTGACTGAGAGCAAAGTTAAAGAACTTTACCTGACAGAAAACTGTGGGCATCAAGGAGACTTATTTCTATTTTTCTTCTACTTAGTAATTTTCAGTCTCTGGATGAAAAAGCTCATTATCCTAGCTTCTATTCTAATAAAGCACTGTCTGTATAGCTCAAAAGTCGTTTTGTCTATGCAATACAACATAAAACATACATAAACACATTCAAATACATACATACAATATGTACACACATACCTGAAACATTGATAAGAGCTATTTTTATTTTTCATTCACTTTTACACCATTGGAGATCCTAAAGCTGCTTTTTTGTCTGAACTACTGATGAAAACCATGTTTATCATAAAGAGTATCATCTTTGCTACTAGTGATGATGAGAGAAAATACTATGTATTGAATTGTTCCTCTTTGCCTATCACTATATGATTTTAAGCATTGGTAACAATCATGCCTTGGGAAAAAAAAGCAAATGAAATGCACAAGCAATTAAAGCTTTTCCAGGGATGTTAATGAAAAGACAGTTGATGCAGTATTGGAAGTTGAAAAAAAAAAATCCAAACCAACCAATATTTCAAAGAGAGAAAAATAAGTCTAAGGGTTTCTTATTATCCCCAAATGCTTATCTCTTTTTCTCACTATTGCATAAATCTATTAATTTATAATTTATAATGAAGAAGAAAAAAACATGTGATAAAACAACTTGCAGCTGTTTTTAATATATCTACTGGCTTTCCAGAGAAACAGCACTGACTGGATTAAAGCCTTTGGAAGAAGGCACCTGCATAAATCTTCTACCATTAGTTTCTGAAAATACATCTAACTCTTGCAGAAAGTAACCTCTTTTTAAGATCTTCCATTTCATCTCCTTTCAAGTTTCATTAAATATCAAACTGTAGATGTGTTTTTAGGTTTCAATATTAATGGTACAGAATGACGTCTGGACACTTTTGTAGCAAATACCTGGTATAAAGACAGGATCTCTGCCTCTGCCCTCGTGAGAAAAAGTAAATGGATCTATATAAATGGGCTGTACTGTCAGCTCTGGGACTTGATGGAGTTCTTCTGCTCCTGGTGACACCTCATCAGGGGGTCTGTTATGGATGCAGAAGTTAGGCTATGTTATCCTAACACTGATAACGAGCTAAGAGCTAATAAAGCATATAGCTCCTTTGAGAATCTCCTTTTTTTTTTTTTTCTTAACAGCCTAGAAGAAGTTTAATTCTATAAAGAAGCCAGAAAATAAAAAAAAAAATCTAAAATACCACAAATCACTACTTAAAATCTTATAAAGACTTCGCTCAGAGGCAAGTTCATCGATGTTAGAGTTGCACCTGACTCTAAGTACAGCCAACTAACATCCCTATTGAGATTTTGGAATATATAAAATACTACACTTAAGACTGTGCCACTCTTTTGACAAACCGTGATTCTTAAATAGATGCTCATTTGCCTAAGTAAAAAGGGAAATAAAAGATGGAATTGATGACTTCAAAAAATAATTCAAAAACATAGGAATTAAAATTATATATACAGAGAAACCATATACAGTAATGTATATATTTATACACATATACACATACTTGAATATATTTATACATACATTTATTTAAGGCATAGTGTTTTAAGAAGTTGGTTTGGTGAGTATTTCTCAAAGTAAGTGCAAGATTCCATTGGTAAGCCATTCAGAAAGTGAGGGAACTTTTATGAAAAGGATTACAAGTTCTAAGGAAATAATCACAAATTTGAGAGATGGAGAAAATGACAAAATCAAGTAGATCGATAGTTGGAGTCTGCTGAGGCCAACCATGTGAGAATTTAAAGGCATTTCTCATTTATACACCTCATTGATGCCAGACATCATTTGCTGCCTCAAACTCCTTCCTAGACCATAGAATCTGACCACCAGCCAGGATCTGGTCCTTGCTCACAGTTCCCTAGCAAGCAGAAGTTGTGGATTCAGGGGCCACAGGAGCTGTGTGTTCATCTAAGCAGAGTTTTGGTTTCCAGTCTCTGCCCTCAGGGATTACTGCTTCTACCTTATATCCAAAGGCTCTCAAAAGCTTCTGCAAGTTCCTTCTGCAGCAATCAGAGCTCAGAGCCTAAGTTTTCTATCTTGTGACAATTCTCATTTCCCTGATGAACACCTTTCGAAGGACAGCAAATGAATCCTTGCCTCCACCTCTAGTTTTCTGATTAATAGCATTAGCTTGCACACATTTTCACCAGAATAGTATGCTAGGTTTAGTTAACCATAAAGATACTTACAGAAACCCAAAATTCTTTTAGGATAAATAATGTCCATGAGACTGAACACATAGGATCTACAGATATATTGTTTTTTTTAACTACACTGAGAGCAAGACAGAAACACTCAGTTCAGTTGAAGTTTTGTATAACTGGGCACATAGAGATGAACACCTCTAGAAGTGTTAGAAAATTTTATAATAATTACATGAATAATTGGGAAGAGAATCTCAGTCATCAGGAACTGCTAAGTAAGCACAGGCTAGGTGATGTGGATTTCATTCAAAACTCCATCTAATTTCATTCATGTTGCCTGTGCCTTCCTTTAGACCTAGCTGTAGATGCTCAGCTACAAATACCTAAGCCTCAAAGCAGATAAACAGCTCGTCATCCAATTTGAGCAACTGATATCAGAAAGAATTATTCTGCTAAGTTAAGTATTTTATGCACATTATCTATCAAGTTTTAGAAGAGTAGATTCATACTTTTGTAACAATATTATGTATTATATTGCAATATATTACATTGCAATAATAGTATTATGGCTTTTGAAAACAAAATAACCATTAATAATACACAAATATGAATGTTAATTTTCCACTGATCCTAAGTGTCTTTTGACATACTTTTAAAAATCACCTACAGAATGTTCTTATAAAAGGAACTTCACACTTTTTTCAGGCTTTGCGAAAGCAGTTGTTAAGGAAACCAATTAGTTCAACAATCATAATTGCAATAATGGTTCATATAAAGACAACTTGATGTTAAATTGTGTAGTAGATTTCTTAGAACTGCTTAGAGGTTAAGGGGGAGCACTGAAAGGAAACTGTTCAGAAAAAAATAATTTCTATCTTCTGAAACTAAATTAACTAATCTGGTTTTCACTTGAATGCCTAGAGACCACCTACATTATAATTTACAGAGGTATATAATTTCTTGCAGTTACAGAAGCTGTAGCAATAATAGGGAATACTTTAAATAATTATAACAGGTTAAAGTTTAATATAAAGTTTACACTTGCAAAACAAGCAAGATTTGTGTTTCAAATATACATAATTGAAAAATGGCTTATCCCTTCCATTTACCTAAAAAAGGTTTTATTTATTTTTCTACTTCATAAATATCTTTATTTCTTTTTAAGCTTTCCTATATTTCCTCTGCCTTTTCCTTTTTCAATCATGTAGTGAAATTGTGTTTCTGAATTATGGCAATCACAAGGCACCATCTATTTAAAAAAAGCACACAGGGCCTATTGAGGCCCTGAGTTTCAATCAAGATGCAAATCAACTCTCACTACTGAAATTCAAGTACATAAACCAAGTCTTCGTACCAGAACTGGATCTGAACCTATTAATGAATGACAAATGCCTATTCATTTCTATAAATGCAAGTAACAATGCTTCCAATATTAACAAATTTCTACAGAATATTAAAAGAAAATATTGCAGAGATCTTGAGATAACCCCACTGAAAATTTTGATGAAAAATTGAAATAGACAGAAAAAAATTAGTCATTTCAAACTTTTCTGATGACACTGTAGTCTGTGAGTTAGTCAAACTCACTGCCACTTTACCAAGAACAATGCTAGTCAGATGCTCAGACAAACACCTATCAAAATGGTTTGTGCTTTAATATATTTGTCATTATATATTTTTTACAAGATTTTAATTTGTTTCTAATACACTAATAGTTTAATATACAACATACAGAGAAAAAACTATGTTAGAGGACTTAACTTATTTTAAAATGGTAATGACACTGATCTAATTTGGAATGTATTATTAGAGATAATTTAGACAAGAAGTTTGAAATCTCTTCCTTATAAAAACTTCTTTATAGAAATTAAGACTACCCATAATAAATCAGAAAGTACTATCATATTTTAGGTTTATTCGGACTGAAATAATTTTGCATTGTTGCACCGAAATGTAACTTTACGTTGGGAAGCATTAAAACTTGATAAATCAGTTACTGAAATACACTCAGTCTTAACTACTATGCTGTTTTCCTTACAAAAAAAAATTCCAAACCTTCCAGTTTACATAATTAAAAGTATGAACAACATTTCTATAGATTTCAGAGCCTGTAAATAGGCCAAACAGAAGGCTGTCTGCTCACCATGTTAGGGTGAAACAGTAAGACAATATCTAAACGAGACTATTTTAAACCTTAAGTTCATCAGACACTAAAATAAATGCCTTTATTACAAGTGTATCTTGAAGCACGTGTAGACATAGGACTGAAATCAAGAACTCTAACAATTAACTTGCTTCCAATAAACAGGCAATACAACTTGAAAATGTATATCACAGGTGTATCTGAAATACTATATTTCTTGTTAACTGTCAGCATATGGGTTGAAGAATCAATGTTTGTTCTGTACTTACAAATAGCTTCATTACTAAGAGAAAAGTATGAAACGGGGTAGCATACAATTCATAGAGAAAAAACACTCTAAAATTAACTTACCTGTAATAATGTTGGGCTTTGGTGGCATGCTGAATTCATACAATGTTGGTTCAGAATAACCCAGTCTGTTGGCAGCTGTAATTTGTACTTCGTAACCCATGGTCCACTGAAGATGCTCTAAGATGATGTGGTCTCTACTACCCTGCACTTTTTTCTCTAGCCACTGGTCTTCCTTATCTTTCTGTAAAAGTGCAAATAGTAGTTTAAATTCTCAAAACCTCTACTATTATTTGTCTAAACTCTGTCTACATGATGCATAAAACCATGGCATTTCATTTACAGAAGTTATAAACAAACAATATAATTTTGGAGTTCTCAGTATTTGGGCCTTTTGTGATTTTAACCACTCCTAAAACTGTTCGCATAATGTAGATTTAGGGATTTTGTAGGCAAACCCTGTTAACCTTTTGACTTAAATTTATACTTGCTCAATACTGATGTCTATAATGGCGAACAGCAGGATAACTATTTTAAAATGCTGCTAAGAATAAATTCTGCCAAAAGTTTATCTCATATAGGCGTTTCAATTGAATTTTCATCAATATTTTTTAAAAGAAACTTGCCATTAAACCAAAACTTGAATTGTTAACTGTGCTTATATCATACATTAGTTCTACAATAAAAAACATACATTAACTGTAGCAATGTGTGCTACTATAGTCACATTTGCAAAACAGGTTGTATACAACAAAATAAACACCACTGAGAATGTATGTAGTCCTATTTCTAGACCGTTGAGAGGATACAGGTAAATTATTAAGATGGTGTTCTAGAGAAAAAAAAGTGTTCTCATAATTCAGATAATTATCCAAGACACCCATACAAAGGGAACAAATAAGGACATCAGTTCCAATCTTAATTCTGGCATTTCATAAACTTGGAGTGCTTATCTCTGCAATCACTCCTTTTACTGTATAATACATTTAATTATTTTTTATACAAAATAACAAATAGGTAAAAGGATAAAACAATATATACAGTCAAATATAAAACCCATCTTGTTCAAAGGAGTACTGGTAAGTGACACTGAAGTACAATAGGGTGGCAAAAAATACGTCTGAGAGCCAAATCCTGGTCACCCAACCCATACAGCTACACAGATCCAGTCAGAGGACATAAACTTTCTGGAAAGAAAAACTTTCAAATGCAGGGAAGTAGAACCTTTTGCTGCAGACTACTGTGCTTCTCAGCAGCTTGTATTTATGCTCTTTGCTGAAGCATCTTGCTCTTAACTGATATGTGTCAAAGAATATAGCATCTAAATTAGACAGTGCAGGGACATTTCATGCTTCTTATGCATGATTTTGATTTTTTTTTTTCTCCCCAGTTTTCAGAAAACAGACTAAACTCCCTTATGTGCACTGCTACAAAAACTTATTTGCTATCAGCACTGACTATGATGATTTTCTCATATTAACTTCACCTTTTCTTATACTTCTTGCTTCTTCTTCACTGGCATTGGTGCTAACACATGATAGTCCTGCAGTGATTAAAATACAGTAAAATATCTTTTCAGGCTGATTTGCAGCAAGGTGAAAGTGCCTACTTGGTGCAGCAGTAAATCAATGAAAAACATCAGAATGGTTGTCACATTACAAATTAGGAAAAAAAAAAAACACTAAATACACTGGAGTATATACAGTTTACTTATCATAGTGAAACTGGTATTTTCTGTCAAGGCTATTTTCCAGCATCCTCATGGATGATTTCTGTGGCAATCAGCTGACAGGCCACTGAGTGGATTCACCTATATTTACATTTTACTGAGTGAATACACTTACATTATCCAACTACTTTTACAAAATATATTTTTGTACAGCACTGCTAAAATAAAAGGAATTAATACTGATTGCAATATGCATATACAAGTACTCCTCAGTAATATTAGGAATGCCAGTGTTAATTAGCACTATATTTTAATGGCTGTTCAAACTGGTAAGGTCTGGGAGGAGTCAGAAAAAAAAAAAAAAAAAAAACAAACCACAAACAGATTACCAACATGAGAGAAACCAGAAGATCCATACGTGATCTTGGTGTGTGCACATACAACCACATAAATATACTGGGGAATTTCAAAGTGGTTCAGAATCACAGAACAAGAAAAATATACTGAACTGGAAAATAAAGATTCAGGTTAATATGATTCCTGCAGGTGGAAAAGACAGCACTTGCAAACAGATGTAAGAGTATATTTTGAAAAAAAAACAAAACCTGTAGAATTACATGTTATAAATTAAATGAGCTTAAGATTTGGAAGAAGAACTATGCAGATTCCTGTATGAGGATGTCCTTCTGCAGACATCTGCTTCCTTCTGAAGCCAACTGGCTGGATTGAGATAAATGAAACAATGTCCAAGCACTGAGCTCAAAGAAAACAATGTTTTATGAAGTGACAAACACAAGTTATGAGAAAGAAGAATAAACAAATTATCTGGAAAATAAGTTGTCATCTTTTAAATATAAACAGATGAAGTCCTCCAGAATACAGTCCGGATTCGGCATCTTAAAGAAAAAAATAAAAGAACCACAATGTCCTTCATTATAGCTGTTACTTCGCATGCATTTTCAAGTACTATTTGCTACGTACACCTCAGTAATGTGTCCAGATTTATTTTACTATTAATGTAAAAATGGAAAGAGTATTATGAGAACACAGAAAAGACTCTGTCAGTTAAATCTTATTACAAATCTCCCTGTTTATGCTGAGACCTTTTAACTGGTAGCTTAAGGAGCAGAAAATAGAACTACAAAAGAATACTTCTTACCTTAGAAAGCCATTCCATTATTAATACTGCCTAAAATTCATAGAAAGCTCTACATATGCACAACGTTATACAACAAATGAAAAAAAAAAACCCTTCCAAATAAGACACTACAGTCTAATTTGAGGGGTAAATTAATATAAATGTCTTCAGTAATCATTCACAATTAGAAGTTGTATCACTAATATCCACCAACAAATGCACATTTTTAGAAACTGCAATCAGATCTGCAACTTCAGAGATTAAACTGTTGCTTTATTTGCTCTTCATTTTGTTATGCATAATGCAGAAACACTCCTTTACAGAATGTCACTGATGCTGTGAGACTAACCAATGACTGGCAGTTCCTGGGGATCTTACTGTCCACTTCCATTACTCTTAAACCTTACATGCACACTGTCCTCTTCCCAGTAGATGTTTTTGGTTGAAATAAATCTGCCAAAATGCCACAGACTAATCGCACACACACACAAAAAAATAAATAATAATAATAAAATAATCTTAATTGCATGCATATTGACTTTAAATATAAGCACCTGTCAGATTTATCTCAGAAGTGTCTAAAAGCTAGGTTTGTAAGACAGCTCTGCATAACCTAAGTACCTAAACACCTGGACAAAAGAAGAGTAAACAGAGCAATGTGAAACTCCAGTCCACCATGACTTGGTTGCTTCTCAAAACTGAAGGTACATCTGGCAACAGTCAAGTAAAGCCAATCCACCTAAGTATTTACTAGTTAGGAACCTAACTATTTACTAGTCTAGACAATAATCTCTCTTTAATGCTTATTTTATATTGTACCCAAGATCACATTCTCTAGGAACTCATAAAAAGTGAAGACAAATGATTAACCCCCTTCAACCCTTTCCCATCCTTGGTAAATCCTTTCCGCTTCTCCATCCTAGCTAAATTGTTGTGCTGAAATTTCATCTCAAACAACCTTGTTATTATGGTGGTCCCTGTGCAAAGAAAAGGGCAGGAGATGCTACACTATTTTTAAAGCTGTTAGAAAAAAAGTACCAAGAAATCATTATGGAAGATAACCTGATAGTTTAAAGCCATGACTTCACAAGAATCCATTACATTAGGATCATGCCTTGTAGGTCTTGGTAATACAGAACAAATACTGAATAAAGCACAAAATGGCTGATAATATACATGGTGTTAAAATGCAGAGAAAGCCCAAGAATCCGGCAGGTAAAGTGGAACTTAGAGGTGCAAGAATATTTAACTCTTTTATGGTAGGTATCTCAGAGTGTGAGTAAGTGAGAAATATTCTCTTTTCAAATTATTTTTATTTACTCAAGTTTGCTCTAGAATCTATCATAAATTAACAAAATTAACAGCATTCATTTTGTTCATGACTCCATCAACACAGTCAAAGCGTGAAGCCCAAAACCTACCAAACAAACACCTGTCACTGCTAAAATTCAGGGTACTAGTAGTAACACTGTAACAGGTCAACACAGTGAACAATTTTTAGGCCTGCAAAAACTAATTGCCGCTCTAACATTTCCTCCGAACATCATTATGTTTGTAAAAGTAAAAAAATGAAACACCATCATTGTTTTTCAAAACAGGATTTTAAACATTTTTTCTTGCTTCTACCTAAACATTTATAACCATAAAGGATGGATATTTTTATTATTTCATTCTAATTCCAATTTTTTTACTGAAACTTGGTCTGACAGGGAAACACAAAAACGCCTTCCCCCTTTTTTTTCCTCTAGCTTTCTGTTGACATTCTGTGATCTGCAAGTCACAAGAAAATAGCGTGGTGCCTATCTGCACAGAACAGTGAGAAACATTGTGTGCCCAGCACAAATTCACAATTGCACCATGTGCAGCTACACAATATCCATCACAGTCAAAATAGTTGAGCAGTAAGCACAAACTTCTGCTTATGACTGTGTGAGTCATGCAAGTGATTCTACCTTCATGGTGATCGTACATTGTTTGCGTGCTGCTTCTGGTGCTAAGCTTAATTTGTGCAATATCTTCCAGAGGCTGCTTTGCAGTCTGCCTCTCTCTTGCAGGTCTGTGCCTGGTCACCCACTTACCCTGAGCTTCTGTGGCAAAACATAAAACTCTTTATTATCTGACTATAGTTAGTAAGTTCTGCCCATAATAGGAATAAACTGATGTTAGGAAAGCAATATTTGAAAGAATGAAACATGATTTCCAGAAAAATAAAACTAACCAACTGCCCTAACCCTGGCTACAATATTGCTATATCTTCAATGCTGACCTTCTCCCAGTTTAAAAAAAAAAAAAAGGTAAAATAAAACTGTATAAAACTTAAATATGATGGAACTGACTCTTAATAAGGAATAATCCGCTATGAAATATAAAGAAAAAAAAGCCACTGATGCACAGCTTGTTATCTAATATGCTCTTTAAACATGCAAGCAAATCCATTGGTCCAGGTGCTAGCAATGAGGCTAGCAAGAGTTATAGGAAAGATGATTAAATATGACGAATGGGGAAGATAGAAGAGAAGCGGTCAACAGATAATTAAGAACTTTAAGTATCATCCATTTATTCTGATTTAAATAGCAAAAACTTATTGTGCTTTTTTATTGTAGGAAGGCCTTTAATTTACCCAAATCACTTTTTCAATTGGAAGCTTACAGCAAAATGGATTTGAGGTCCAAGTAAAAGGTATCTTCTTCAGTAACCTAGAAAGTTTTCAGTTACTGGTTAAACCATGAATTTATCTTTTAACAATACAAATGAAAAGTGATCTTTTTTACTATAATATATCTTAGTTAAAATGTTAGATCTAAGTCAGGTTCCCAAAAACATTCAGGATTGATCCAAAAACATTTAGCTTACCTAAATCACAGAAACAGATTAAATTCCACATACTGCATGCATATATTGTATCCAAACAGTTTATTTTCTTATCTTTTCAATTATAAATACTTGGAGGCATTGTAATCTAGTTAGGAAGCTCAATGCCACAAAACTGCATTGTATCTTCTATTGGATATTTTACTGCCCTCTCTCTTCACAATTACTTTTCTTTTACAACAACTATACTTACAGGACTGAGAGTAATTTAAGAAGAATTAAAGACTTAGGCATCAATGATATCAGAATATTTGCTGTTTATTCTCTCAGACTACTCTTAAAAGCTTTACCAAATTTTTCTCAATTGATTTCGACCTACCAATCCTATTCGGTTATACTTAGCTTAGAAAAATCATTTTATGTGCCAGGTTTCTCCACTTGGAGAATCTCAGAACTATCATAAATAACTTACGTTACAGGAACAACAGGAAATGTGACAAAATTGTCAGTAATTTGACACAATCACAAATGTGACAAAATGTGAAAAATGTGTCAAAAACAATTGCAAAATAAGGAACTGGTTTTTCTTTTTTGTGGACACTAAATCACGTTCTGCATTTACTATCTCAAAGATTCCTTATTCCTGTTAAATACAGTCCTCACTACCTTCTGTTTAACACATCTAAATCACAGAATCATAGAATGTTTTAGGCTGGAAGGGACCTCAAGAGGTCATCTGGTCCAACCTCCCTACACAAGCAGGGACGTTTCTAGCTAGGTCAGGTCGCCCAGGGCCCTCTCAAGCCTGGCCTCAAATAACTCCAGGGTTGGGGCCTCCACTATCTCTCTGGGCAGTCCATTCCAATCTATTCTCTTTATTAAAGATTTTTTTGCCTAATATTGAGTCTAAATCTATCCTTTCCCTAGTTTAAAACCATTACTCCTTGTCCTATCATTACAAACCCTTTAGAACAGACCTTCCCCCACCTACATGTGGGCCCCTTCATTTACTGGAAGGTGCCCACATGAAGGTCCCCCTGGAGCTTCCTCTTCTCCAGGCTGAACAACCCCACACCCTCAGCCTGCCTTCATATGAGAGGTGTTCTAATCCCTTGATCGTTTCAAATCATTTAAAAATCATCTAAAATATCTGATGTTACATTCCCAATATCTTTTATGCTCTTAAAACAGACATGTAAACCTGCTATTATACTCTGGTAAAATTTCTTTTTACCGGGTCTAGTCAGGTAAAAGTAGCATAATCTTCCTAACAGAAAAAAAAGATGTTATTAGAAAATACATGCTTTTGAATTAAACCCATTGATTTTGCAAGCTTTATAGTTAAATCTTCAACCCAATAATTTCTAACCATAATACATCAGGAAAGGAAAGATATTTTAGCTACTTTAATAATTAAAAAAAAACCAAAACAACTCTGTCTTTGGTAGAAAAATAAATTACACATTGCTGAAACCCATTTTCTAAAGTTGCCAGATTTGAAGAGAGAACACCAAATCAGACTTTAGCTGACAGAAAGCAATGGTTGGTTTTTAAAAAGCTAATATATACACTGAAACTCATGAAAGTCCTAACGATTTCTCAATTATTTGACTTTTTTAAGCTGAGTGTTGGAAACTAGAAAGACAGGAAATGTGAAACATTATCTGATAATTAATCTTATTTAAAATTAACACGGACTACTGGAATATAGCTTTCTATCTCTATGACCTATCTATGGATACAGAGGCATTTCCTTTTCAAACAACCCTTTCTTTAACTTTAATGCTTGCTAATCTACTGCACTTTTGAGAGCTGAACATAAGTGTTCCTCATTTACCATTTAACAATAGAGAGAGTATAGTTTTCTTGTTAGAATGAATTTTCAGTTATACCTTTAGGAAGAGCAGGGTGTTTGTTTGTTTTGTTTTTAATAATTATTTTAAATTTTAAATAATTATTTTAAACAGTTATTTTATAATCTGGCACTAGCAACCTAGCCACAAAAGAAAACACACTATACTACTACTTATTTTCTTTTTGTAGCATGCATGCCTTTTGTTACTTTTCAAATCATACCAACAGTTTTCTTTACATCAAAAGCAGATATTACTAAGCAAAATGCATCTATCTGATTAACTGAAATACTTACACTTCTGTACTTGACAATATATTCCAAAATGGGGGCACCTCCATCATCTTGTTTAGTTATGCTAAGTTTAAAACTCTTGCCACTTCCTGGTTGTCCATGAATTGAAGGGGGGCTTGGCTCCCCTAAAAAATGAAAAAAACAGTAGATAATAATTCAGCAACAGGACAAGCTGGAAAGTTGACCACCACATTCTTAGTTAAAATCTTTAATATCAACATGATCCTTCCAAGCATTGCTGAACATCCTTACTAAATGTGATAAATATTTGGCTTAAAGTATGTTCTAATGTAGTTTGTCACAAACAAGGCAACAAAATTAGGTGAAGCATGAAAAAAGGTATTAATTTATTTGAGATCTTCTGATTTTTGGCACTTTCAAATGTAATTTACTTCAGAAATTATTTATTCATCAATTCAGCATGGCTGGTAGTTGCTACTCACAATAAAATTTAAGAGTGACACTGTCTTACAGGAAAGCACCTTTAACATTAAGCATTAGCTTTAGTCCCACATGTGAGATCTAAACTGTAACACAGATATTAGGCAAATTAACTCTTCAAATGAGCCAAGGAAAAAATTAGATACTTTTAGAGTAGTTTCTATTAAGAATAAATGTAAAGAAGATTCCCAAAAGCAAAACCAATTTTCTCTGTAATGACAGAATAAAAATAATCTTAAATGTTTAATTGAAGGGTTAATAGCCAGATTAAGCCACTTTGGTAACTGAAATTCACAGACTAATTATAATTTCTATATGCAATACCTATCATAAAGTTTTAAATCAGACCTTAAATGAAAATGTGCTATCATACTCAAGTGTCTTATCTTCAAATTGTCTGTAAATTTGCATTCACCCAAAGAGATACAGTTCCTTTATAAATATCTGTAATATTTGTTTACCTCTTGTCAAAGATAAATTGCCTTAGATCTCAACATAGAATTTGCCTAGTTCCAAACCAGATAACATAATTTCTACCAATTTCTATCACTCTTGTATCAGCTATAATGTTCCATATGAATAATAGTAAAAAATATTTTATCTGTCTTTCAATATGTTCAGAATATGCACATGCTTTAACCTAAAAAAGAAATTTGAAAGCTGCCAAGTTACCAGTTTTGGACAGAGGAAACTTATCAATAAGAACATAATATAATAACATGGAAATATTTTCTGAGTTCCATAGTTGTGTGAATTTTATTGTTTATTCTATTAGGACCAGTACTCTTAACTACACTGAGTAACACCCTACTCAGAAAACAGTTTAGTTGCAACAGATTTATGAGAGACTAGTTTAGTAATAGCTGCTGATGTATTTTGGTATATCTGAGAACTATACAGTGCCATCTGTTCCTTTATTTTCTTCTCCCTTTGTGTTTAATTTTATTTTTAAATTATTGTTTTTATTTAAAAGCAATCTGAAAAAAAATATTTTTCATTAGCCCTTAATATTTAAATCTGAATTTATTGCCTTTAAAGGTTACTACAAATACAGAAATGGCTTCATAGCATTTATCATTTGAATGTAATCACAGTTAAAATAATTTATTTTCATTATTTTTCCATGGCTCAAGATTTCTGTTTGATAATTGCAAAACTTTTGGCAGTATAGTTTGCTGAAGAAATGCTTCCAGAAAGGGCCAATTAATTTCTCACAGATGTCTATAATACCCTGAGTATAAATGAGAAAAAGTCCTTAATACACTATCTTTCATGGTTTGTGCAGTTGAATATAAAGCAAAGATTTGTCTAAGTCCACAAAATATAGATGGGATAAATTCTTCAATTTAAGTGCATTCACACTACTTGGGGGGGGGAATAGGAGGAACAAAACATTTCTGAGAAACAATGTAAAGACTGATGTTGTAGAGTGGGAAGTAGTGTATAAATGTAAAACATTATCCCCAGTGATTCGTACTTCAAATTTTTACCTGTTCTGGAGACAATATATTCTAATAACCATTTACATTTTCATTTAATAGCACAAGTATTACTCACGGACAGGTAGGGTCTGGAAGATCTCAATTTTGCTATACTCTCCTTGCCCTTTTCCATTTACAGCAGCTACTTTGATTTCATACGTTGTATTTGGTTCCAAATTGCTGAGAGCAACCATTGCTAAAGGAAAAGCAAGAAAAGGTACGGGAACAAAATTTGATGAAGCAATAGATTTTTTTTTAAAAAAAGAAATCAAGCAATTTCACGATTTGTTTGATTCATTTGCAACTTATAAGTCCCATTTTCTAATAGTCTAATGGTTCGGAAGTTATTTTTCTTGTTGAGTGCAAATAGTCCCTTTTCTTTCATCTGCAAAAAATCATTGTTGTGACTGATAAAATTATGCTTCTGCAGGGATTTGATGTCAGTATTACAGAAGCCATAGGCAACAATTAAGGACCTTGATGAGGACAGATATTTTATGTTCAAATGTGAGCACTGGAAACACGGACCTGTCAAAAAATTATAAAAGTTTCCTTTCTCCTAGCTGGTAATAAGCATCTGATGCATGTTCAAGCCACCTTCATACAGTTCATAACTTGCCATTTTTCCCTCATGGAGAGCAGTAGCAACCATCCTTGGTCTACGCTCCTAGATGCAGCTATGTGCACGTTAGTGGTGAATTACTGGGGCTATGTCCTGACAATTCAACGATATACTCAAGACCCAAAATGACACATGACTATGATGATCAAAGGTAGAGTTCTGAGTTATCTGCTAAGGATCTGAAAGTGAATTAGGCATGTTTGTACATATTTAAATGACTGTATATGGAAATGCATATGAAGTTATAGCCAATTAAAAAAAAAAGAAAAAAAAAAAAGAAAAGTAATTTGGGAAGCAAATGGGTTTGAACTTAGGACATGCTTTCAGAAATCAAAAGTGAATCCCTGCCATTAATCTTTCACACAGCCTGAACCTTTATGATTTTGCCCAGAGATGCTATCAGAAGCAGAAATCAGGGGACAATGCTTGTCAAAAAGAATATTGTAGAGCACAAAAATATTGTTGCTGTAATGTACAACATATGTAGAAATAAAATCCAGGAAAAGGATGTTGAATTCCAGGATCCTTTACAGCAGTGTAGCATTACATATTATGATAGTACTGTATACTACTAATATCCATGCTGAATATGCACTTGGAAACTTAGCTCCACACAACAGTTCTCGGACCATTACCTTGCCTTTACAAGAAAACTTCCTTTTATTGTCTCTACAACAGTTGCCTGCTTGCCGCTTGCCAGTTCTGTGATGAGCTCTCCAGATGGTCAAATACTTACTGGACAACGGACATAAACTGGACAGAATTTACTTGAAATACAAATATTTTATCAGTATTTGTCTTGCTCATAAAAGCAGGGGCTGTATTATCTTATAAGAGGATATATTATTGCAATGTCTTGAGAAAAAGCCAGTAGCCTTTCTTAGTCTCTAGGGAGCCTAGCTTTTTTCATTATAGAGGAGTATTTTAATACTTGCTTTAAGCTAGCTTTTCAAGGTACACATTTAATGAAAATATAACTATTTCTGTCAGTACTTTTTGTTAGTCCTTTGAGTTCAGATTTCTTAGAGTATTTATTTCTTTAGTTTCTTCCGCAGAGGTCCCATTACAGGTGGAGCTAAAGGGATTTAATTAATTTTGGAAAAATCAGTAACTTTTACATTTCACACTCTATTTATGAGCATTTTGCATGAATCTGCCACTGAAATACAATAACTGCTTTCTTGTAAACAAAACAGTATAATTGTGTGTCTTGCAGCACATTTTAGCTTTATCATTTTAATGAGGTGTACAAATATCAGACTACGAAGTATAACCATGTCATGATAAAGATTAAAGTACCATCACAAGAATAAGAATAGAATATGGAGAAAAGAAGGATTATATATAATATTCAGTTATGGTAAGATGAAATTTAAGACCAAAACGAAGCAGCAGGAGTTTGACTTGCCTTTCAGCCATGATTACTTTCCAGAGCTAAATAATTTCACTGAAAATAAACCTTAAAGAATACTAAAAATTAGTGCTACTGTAAATGTTTTTTAAAATGGAAACAACATAGAAGTATGACTATGAGACTACACTTAATAAAACGTGACTGTCTACAAAAAAACTAAGGATCCAACTTTATACTTGAGTGACTCCTAGGACCTATCTAAATTAATAAAACTACTTTCATTTACAGTATTTAAAGAATTTAATACTACTCTGAAAGAAATATAGGACTTTCAGTATATGAAAGTTAAAAAAATTACTACAATCCATTGTATACCATATGTGTGAATTATGCCATTGGTACATTCACTGGCATACATCAAATCCCAAATACAATGAAAGGGAAATTCCTTTATTTCTTTAATAATGCAATCTGAAAATTTTTAATCTTTTTCTATCTGCCTTATCTATCTGCCCCTGTTTTTATATTGTCTTCTTAATCACAATATTTGCATGGTTTATCTAAAGAATTTAGATTTGCAGACTAATTGATTTTGCTGGGATTATTCACTCAGTGACTGGTTACACTGAGGAGTAGACTTCAAAGAACTACTCCAAAGATTAGAAACAGAAGATTCTCTTATGAACCCTGCAGGTATGGCTGGGCTTAGTTAACACAGAATCATAGAATCATAGAATGTTTTAGGCAGCAGGGACCTCTAAAGGTCATCTGGTTCAACCTCCCTACACAGGTAGGGACACCTCTACCTAGGTCAGGTCATCCAGGGTCCTATCAAGCCTGGCCTTGAATGACCCCAGGGTTGGGGCCTCCACTATCTCTCTGGACAGTCCATTCCAATGATCCATTGCTCTTATAGTAATGATTTTTTTTTCTAATATTGAGTCTAAATCTGTAACATGATGCACAACAGCTCAGATCTTAGTGATTTCCACTTACAAGAAAATAGGCAGGGAGGCTTCAAGTCACATGATACCCTTGGAGACAATTACAACACAAGAAGTTACAACTTATTTTGGTTCTGGTTTAACAAACTGTATAGAAAGATTAAAACAAAACTATAAATACTTTTTTGACAGGGTATGAAAAGATTTTTTTTTTTTTAAATGTGTAGACCAGAATTTAAGAAGCAGCACAATAAGCAAAAAGAATTTTATCTTATTGAACAGCAACATTCAGTCTGACCTCGTCTATGGCAAGAATCCTAAAGTTTAAGCAACATTAAAAATAAAGACCTTACTTTTTACTGTACAGATTCTTCTAATTTGCAAGTAAATCTAAAATATTAAAGAACAAACACAGTACAGAAGAAAAAAAAAAAATTATATATATAGGCTAGACAAAAACGCAGAACTCCATACTATTTCAAATGCAAACTGAAAACATTTCAGCTAGAAAAGCTTAACTTATTATTGCAGAATTTTAACTGCTGTCAAGATGAACCATAGGAAAACAATATCTAATACAAGATTTGCTGTGAAATAAATTGTACCATAAATCCAAGTCAGTAAAAACAAAACAAAAATCCCCAGCTGCTCTTCTGGTCCAGGGGTAGGTTATTTATATTACCTTACTACAGTAGACACAGAGGTGAAATATCTAGTATATTAAATTGTTAATAAAGGACAATAAGGGAAAACTAGTTCAGAAGTCTTCTAAGGACTGTGATATATTACATAAACTGTCATCAAAGCATGGGTGGTTAGGGGAACTAATAGTACAGCTACATCTCATTAATCCAAAAGTCATCTTATATGAGGTTAATTAACAGAATTATCACATAATTTCATTATTATCATTAAAGAGCTATCTGTTGTATAGAATAACATTCTTCCAGTTTCAATTTCAATCCCTTGAGGATGTCAAATCTATCTAAAGTAGGATATAAATTTATTCTGAACCAAAGTAACTGAAAGATATCACTACTGGAATATCATCTTCACTCGTATATACTTGAGATACTGATACTAGTGTGAAATTTCTCACAAAGAAGGATTACAGATTTTAGGATGTTGTTTTTTTCCTATTTCTTTTCTTCTGGTCTCAATCTCTATTACTATGCAGATTGAATGCAGTTTGAATACAGTGTAGGTTAATAAATCGAGTGATTTGACTTAGTAGCATTTTGCTGCACCTTTTACTCACTATTTTACTACTCTCAAGGAAAAACTGAGTCCCCTGGAAATACCTGAATCTCTTTCAGAGTTTAAAATTACTAGTATTTTATGAACCTTAAACAGGTTTTATTTTGTGATGATGCTGCATGTTCTCTTAAGGACAGAGAAAAAGACATGGGGGGAGAGAGCAAGGAACCTAAGGTAGCAGGACATGTGAGGAGAATGGTGAGGGAACTGTGGTAGCATAGCACTAAGGTTCTGCACGAATGTCTCAAACTTTTGTATGTGTCACATAATGTGAGATGTCACACAACATTGTTTTGTTTAATCCATGTGTTTGCACCATGGAAGGAAGAATATAAAAATATCTTTTTCTAGCTAAGCTTCACAGAGTTAGCTCACAGATGTGTTGACAAAATGAAGTTAGATATTACCATGGGGGAGAAATACAGGAAAAAAACTTAAAAGGATTTTTCTACACAATAGGCAAAATTTTTATTCACATGCAAAACCAGCCAAACTGTCCCAGTTCCACCTGTCTGCCTTGCCCAAATAACAATTAGTTTCATAAACAACTATTCAAGCATCTGGGCATAAATATCAAAATTCAACAAACACAAATAAATGAACTTTAATAATGAAAATATTTCAAGTTGCACATTATATGAAAAAACCATAATGGTAGCAAATCCAACTGCCAGTGAAAGTATTGGCATAAATTCCATTAGCATATATGGAGACAATATCAATCCTTTAGTCATTTTCTAAAAAGAATACACAGAAATAAATGGAACCATTTTAAAAATGTCTGAGAATGGCTCAGTCAGAAATTTCTATCATTCTTCACACTATAATTATTGTATTATTTTGGAACATAAGTTGTAGTAGCTTCATTAGCTGTGAATATAAACAGTTTACCTGGGAATAAAGACAGACAGTGTGGTAGATCAGGTATAATTAATGTTCACTAACATGAATAATTTTCTTTATAAAATATGTTCCAGTAGTGCATTTGGCAAAAATGGTTTTATTATTTTGTGTACAGC